CCCCCCAATTGCTGTGTATTTTTTGTATTTCCCATTCATTCTTTACCATTCTGATAAAGTCAAAATGTAAAATGTTTGGTCTAAAATGACTGAAGATCACTTGATCTTTACATTTATAAAATGTGTGCTGACATCATTTGTTGAAGCAAAATCTCTTTAAGGACAGAGGCCATCTTGGAAATATTCCAGCCAGTTATTTTTTATGCATTAATTACAGCTCCTATCGAAAGACTAAAATCTCCAGTACTGCAATAATATCTGACAACAATGGTATCATAAATGTAGCTTAGGCTGGCTCAGCTAATGCATATTCATGTTTCAGAGTTAAAATAGGTGATTGGCTCTTTTGACTAAAAGGTGAGACTTCTTTTACTTTAGCTCCCATGTTTTAGCGTTATGGTTTCGTTCATTCAATTTTCTACAAATGGCTTGTCTCCTCCTCATGGTTGAAGTCCGTACATGTCGATGATGATAGATAGGGTCACGTGTTTGATCATTTGTGATGCCTATTTTTAAAGAGAACCTAATTACACGGCACCACGCCTGCGGTTTAACTATAAGATGGTTATTCCATGAGTCACAGGCCCTCGATCTGTTGAAACCTTTTTAATTGAGAGCTTTTCTAATGCATCAGTTCCGTTATGCCATCTTAATGAAAATCACATCAACCTATTATTTTAGAGCAGAGAGATGATGTATATAGAGTAGAAATGTTATATATATATATATATATATATACACACACACACATACACACATATATATATATATAATATATATAGCTTATATATATATATATACACAAACATATACTGTATACACACACACACACATAGCTTACACACACACATATACATGTATATATAGCTATATATAGTGTGTGTATTTTATATTTTTTGTTATATTATTTTGTTATATTTCTGTTTTTTTAAGAAATATTTTATTTAGATTTATTTATATATTTGTGCTTAAGAATACATTGTCCAAAAAACATGGTAGTACCATTTTATTTTTATTATTATTATTATTATTATTATTATTTTCTATATGTTTTTTGGTTTATTTATTTATTTTTTTGTAAGTGTGCGGTTGAGTTGCATTCTTGAATACATAATTGTACCGAAAAATCATATCTATTTTATATTACAGTTTTTTTATATTATTTTATTTTTAAATAAACATTTGATTTAGATTTTAGTGATTTAAATGGTCCACAAATATCCTTGTATTTCTTTCTTTCTTTCTTATTTTTGTGCAGTTAAACTGGTAGAGCACGTATTTGCATAAAAGTACTATACAGGATGAGTATTTTTTTTTCTTAGTGCTATACTACAGTATTCTTCTTGGAAAATACCTGGAGTACATGAATTTGAATAATGTGATAAATATCAAATGACCATAATATTAGGCTTACCATGTGATATCATTACTGTATTGCCATAATGCTTTTTGTAAGGCTGACACTAGCAATGCCAAGGTCTGGAGTTTCCTTAGGGGAAACACATATTAATGCATTCCTTATATACATTAGTCATCTTAATATATATTAAACTACATTCCTTAAATGAGTGGCGTTGGGTACAATTTTTTACCAAATGAATAAATGTCATGTTAATGTCATATAGCCTTCTGTGGAATATGTCAAAATACCATAGTGTTGCCAAAGCCTAATATGTAGAATACTGTATATACAGCAAACACGGACACAAAACATCGTAGCATTTTGTTTTGAATGATAATATTAGCGGCATCATAATATACACACAGTTCAACTAAACCCTCAAACTGTTGTCAAGGAAACAGAGCTGAGGATGATGGTGAGGGGAGGAGGGACCAGGCCAGTCGGAGAGGGCTGGGGGGCGCAGGGGTGCATTTTTATTTCCTTATCATATCCGCATTTTCGGTGTCATCATGGCCACCGCTGCACAAACTTCTAATATATCGGCTGTAGTGTCGTGCTGGTGTCATTAGCGTGGTTTTTGCGGCGGGTTTGTGTAGTAAACGCGTGGTCTCGAGACGCTGGAGATGATTCTCCTCGCGTCTTAGCTCGTTCGCCGGTGGACTGGAAGAGCAACCGGGTGTGCGTTTATTTAGCGTTAATTGTATCCGTTTGATTTTTATTTCGTCCTTGAGCAACTGGGGGGCATTGAGTCTCCCCGTTCTGTATTTTAATGACTGGTTTTGTATTTTGCTGCGCGATGTACATGGATAAAACCAGTGTGCTCCGGGGTAAGAACCTTTTTTTAAAACCTTTTTTATATTAAATTTCGACATATTAAAGCATAATGTAGGGTTTTAAAACGAAAGTGTGTCAATAACTGTAGTTTAAGCACATGCAATGGTGTATGCTCATCTGCAGCATCATATAGGCTACACCATCATGGTTGGAATATTATACATGCATGTTCAATAGTTCAGTGTGTCAGTATGTAAAGTGGGTGTATTCACCATCTGCTGTCTATACATGCATGATTTGCATTGACATTTGATTATTTTCAGCATGCATTGTCATAAAATGTATATTTTGGCTTTAGGTTCAATTTTATGCTTTGATCCTGATTTTTTTTTCCGTTTTGGTGGAGGGGGATGGGCTTTTACATGCAATGGAGTAAAATTAATGACATGCACCTTTCCTATGCACATGATAAATCACACCAACGTGCAAATTTTGAATTGTCTGTGAAATCCCGCTGGCGCTTCACCTACATTTTGCAGGCTGGTGCATCATGCCTGCTGCACATGGATGCAGGGAGACATGCAGTGCAGCCTGACATGTAGACGTGTGTGTGTGCAGGGCACTACTACTGTTGTCGCCGACCCCTGCGTTTGCAGTATGCATGCCTTTTGAAGGTTATTTGACAATGCAGAGATGTCATGCACCTGCCATCATTAGGGAATGTGCGCTGTCGGTGTATTTGTTTGTGTTTCCATGTTGTTGTCGGGGTCTCGCTATGTGAATGCAATGTCGGTTTCATCATTCCATGTCTGATGAACTGACAATCTGTTATTTTAAAAATCAAAAGGCACTGTATGATATATCAAAACAATGCCTGTTATATAGCTGTCAACTCACCACAGAGTGGGTGTGCCTGACTACAGTATCCATTTCAGCGATGCTGCATTTCAGAAATGAATGAACTACATTCAAGTGCATCTACTGAAACTTAATGCATCGCAAGTTTTCCCTGAAAACACTATTAAGTTTCATGCACTGGTGTTGTAGTGGCCTTTTTGATGCAATGCATAGATTGATGTGTGGCTTGGGTGGCAGATGTGTGCAGTGGTGTTTTGCTGGTGTCTGACCCATTAACGCAGCCTTCAGAGGCACAGATGTCTACACCTGGTTTAATCTACATTACTGACCACCTTCAGTAGGTCACCTAATAGAGTCTTTAAGCTTATGTTGTTCTGACTGCGGTAGTTTTCTTAAAGGAATAGTTCACCAAAAATGAAAACTTGAGAAAATATAATCTCGTACAGATTTGGAGAAATTTAGCATGACATCACTTGCTCACCAATGGATCCTCTGCAGTGAATGGGTGCCGTCAGAATGAGAGTCCAAACAGCTAAACATCACAGTAATCCACAAGTAATCCACACCACTCCAGTCCATCAAGAAACATCTTGTGAAGTAGAAAACTGTTTTTGTCAGAAACAAATCCATCATTAAGACATTTTTAACATCAAACTGTTGCATCCAGCTAAAATATAAGGGCTCTATCCATAATATTGCTTTCTTTGGTGAAAAAGTCACCTTGTCTGAATCAGGAGAGAAATATGCGCAGATCAAGCACAATTTACATGTGGATTATGGAGTTTTATTTGGACCAAAAGCAATGGTTGAAATTTAAAATGCCTTAATGATGAATTTGTTTGTTACAAACACGCAGCTTTTCACTATGTTAACTGATGGACTGGAGTGTTGTGGATTACTTGTGGATTATTGTGATGTTTTTATCAGCTGTTTGGACGCACATTCTGACGGCACCCATTCACTGCAGAGGATCCATTGCTGAGCAAGTGATGTAATGCTAAATTTCTCCAAATCTGTTCCAATAAATAAACAAATTAAGCTGGATCATGTTGGATGGCCTGTCGTTGAGAGCATTTTAAGCAAATTTTTCAGTTTTAGATGAACTATACCTTTAAAGGCACGGCACTAAAGGCAAAATTCGTTTTTTCATGCACTGGTTAATGAGATCTTGGGCTATTTGGCATTTCATAATGTGTTTTTTTAGACTACTGGAAAGAAAACAAAAACACTTATAAGTGTTTATTTTATTGCACTTTATCTATTTGCGTTTGAAGATTTCAATTACAATCTCTTTAAAGGCTGTGAGTTTTTCTGCTGCACTGAATCAGAAATCTCCACTTCAGTAGCACTTACATACACTAAACTTTACAGTTTATTCATATCTATATTCTGAATTCCTATGTATATTCTAAACGAGTGTTTTGAACCTGGCTTCAACCAATCTTCAGATTTCTGTTCTTCAAATATATTCAAATTAGTGCAAGAACACTTGTTATACAAAAAGTCTTTGCAAGTCTTAATCAATTAGCTGGGGAATATGGTGATATCTATTAGCACAGTTTTTACCCTCTTCACCTGTGATAGCTTTGCCTTAAACCTACCAAAGACTCCAGTAATGTTTCCCTGCAGATTTTTGGACAGCTTTTCGGGTGCTGTGATAAAGACTTGTTTTTCTGCTTCACAGGCTGTGCATTGTTATGCAGTGTCATCTTCGCTTGCGTCTTGGCCGGGTTTAGATGAGAGCAAATCTTCGCTGCGGCTCGGATTGTGTGTAGCATCTGTGTGTTGACTGTCCTGTCAGTGCGTCAGTGCACGATCAGGATAAAAATAGTCCTTCTGTTTCAATACATCCCTCAGCTCACCGTGGAATAGATATTATCAAAGTATCAAAGAGCTTTCTGTAGCCGCAGTGGCCTGATGTTTGCTGTTACGCTTTATATTCGCTGCATTTTGAGATGAGCAGAACAATAGGTAAAAAAACTGACGTCTGGCATTTCTGTGGAGCCTGTTTCCATTCCATATCAGTGAGCTCATGAAATATTCATGGAAAGTCACATAAGATAGATGAATCAGCAAAGTGGTGTGGTTCTAAATGTCTTATTGATCCCGAATTGACTGACAGGCACATGGATTCTGACTGGTCATGTTATTGTAACATGAGGAAGCCCTAATCACGGACTGACACATCTCTAACCACAAGTGTCCTATTTTATCTTTGTTCCAAAACACAGGCATAGACCAAGATAGACCATAGACCAAGAAAGTTGGTGTGGGGTTTACTTGGAACAATTTTCATTCAGAAATTGCGGTAAATTAGCAAATAATCACAAAGAAAGGACAAGTAACACAATTAATTAAATGTGAATTTTTTTTAAGTAGAAAGACTGAAATGGTGTAGCTTCTTTGTAAAATAAGAGAAGAAGAAAAAAACAAGATGAGGAATAAAGTGAGAAATGTGATTATAAATAAATGAATAAAAATATAATTCAATAAATGCTGAAAAATATGGATTAATTTGACAATTTCAAATGTGTGCCCAAAGCGTGAATCCGTAGCCTGTGCAGAAAGGCACGGAAAACAAATAATGTGTTCTATGGAGCCACTAAAGGGTCATGGTTAGCCGCTTGCTAGCGGTAGACTGTTACATTATAGTATATGAAAGTTCACTTACCACATAAACAGAGTAAGGAGAGATGACTGATTGGACAATGGCGAATGATTTGCAGATACTGAGCACCACTGACAAATATCTAATCTTGTAAAATGTGTGGTAGCGGCAGTACTGGTCCGTAGTATAGAGTCCGTGTGATCGCGAATCTCGAAAGTGAAAGTAAAATGACAACGCGCATTCGAAAGCGGTTTCAATGCCCTGCATATTAGTAGCGGCTCGCCCACAATTTAATTATTCAGCAGCTTTTTAGCTTGCTTCGGAGCAAATTACCCTCCTCCATCCCCAGCTCCACCTTTCGCCACAGTCAGGACTTAGCTTTCTGATATTCCTTGCTAATCAGACTCCTTTATCTTGAATAAAGTGTTACACTTAAATATCATTGAGTACATTAATGATATCTGCATTGTTCTGTTCTGTTAACCCTAGGGGGGTTATTATTGCTGCTCTCCCTGCTCATTCATGACAGGCTGCATGGATGGGCAGGGAGGTTTTTTGCCCAGAACAGAACCATACCGCCAAACCAAACTTTATGCTAAGTATCTATCATTCTGACGATAGTGGTCCTGACAGAACTATACCTTTAAAGGCACGGCACTAAAGGCAAAATTCGTTTTTTCATGCACTGGTTAATGAGATCTTGGGATATTTGGCATTTCATAATGTGTTTTTTTAGACTACTGGAAAGAAAACAAAAACACTTATAAGTGTTTATTTTATTGCACTTTATCTATTTGCGTTTGAAGATTTCAATTACAATCTCTTTAAAGGCTGTGAGTTTTTCTGCTGCACTGAATCAGAAATCTCCACTTCAGTAGCACTTACATACACTAAACTTTACAGTTTATTCATATCTATATTCTGAATTCCTATGTATATTCTAAACGAGTGTTTTGAACCTGGCTTCAACCAATCTTCAGATTTCTGTTCTTCAAATATATTCAAATTAGTGCAAGAACACTTGTTATACAAAAAGTCTTTGCAAGTCTTAATCAATTAGCTGGGGAATATGGTGATATCTATTAGCACAGTTTTTACCCTCTTCACCTGTGATAGCTTTGCCTTAAACCTACCAAAGACTCCAGTAATGTTTCCCTGCAGATTTTTGGACAGCTTTTCGGGTGCTGTGATAAAGACTTGTTTTTCTGCTTCACAGGCTGTGCATTGTTATGCAGTGTCATCTTCGCTTGCGTCTTGGCCGGGTTTAGATGAGAGCAAATCTTCGCTGCGGCTCGGATTGTGTGTAGCATCTGTGTGTTGACTGTCCTGTCAGTGCACACGCTCCTGATCAGGATAAAAATAGTCCTTCTGTTTCAATACATCCCTCAGCTCACCGTGGAATAGATATTATCAAAGAGAAAGTTTGCTTTCTGTAGCCGCAGTGGCCTGATGTTTGCTGTTACGCTTTATATTCGCTGCATTTTGAGATGAGCAGAACAATAGGTAAAAAAACTGACGTCTGGCATTTCTGTGGAGCCTGTTTCCATTCCATATCAGTGAGCTCATGAAATATTCATGGAAAGTCAC